ATGGAATCCATGAACATTGATCGTGCCTCAAAGCATCTTTAACAAGGGTTTCTTGTGCTAAAGCATATTATTCTATTGGAGTAGCTTCAGTAAATGTAATGCCAACCTCACAATGGTTGACTGACTGACCAATTAATGAACTTTATATTGGTCCAAAATAATGTCATGTTAAAAGTTTCATTTTTATTTCATTCTGTAAAAGGAATATTCTGGGTTCAATGCAAGTCAAAATCAATCCACATCATTTGTGGCATTATGCTAATTAAAACAAACAATAGATAAATTAATTAATGAAACTGAGTTTAACTTGTATTCAAATTGTGGAATGTGTTCTATAATTGTGTTCCATAGGGAAAAAAAAAAAACTCCACACTGTCCTGCTGAAAATATTCAGAAATGTTTTCCATATAGTTCTTCAAGAAAGATCTTTAGCTCTACTGAAGTCTTGAGGGTATAAAGCTGCTAACAATGAGAACAGGCCACGATCGGGAATGTCACCAAAGCCCTTTTGCTAGTGAGAAACATGAAACGATACTCTTAAAGCTTTGAGAAAAAAGTCTGAGGAAAATAGTTAAAAAACTTCTGAACTCTTCACAATGAAATGCAGTCTTATTAAAGCTTTAAGGCAAGGAGACTAACAAGTGTCCCAATTATTCAGTGAGCACAGGTTTTAGTGATACTAAAACAGTATTACTGTTACCTTTTAGCCATGAGGTACTTTGCGATTTGCTTTTGTTTGTTTGTTTTGTCTTTTACAATACAGAATAAGATAGAAACGTGTGTGTGTGTGCAAATTTGTGAGAGCAAACATCACCCTTTTCTCTAGACACCTACTAAAAACTGAATTCCTGCACTAACTGTTTGTGTTATCAGTAAACTTCTCCAGTGGAGTTGTCGTCTGGCCAGACCCCTCTTCTCCCTCCCTGTGTCGTCCTCACCCCTGGTCTTCAGTGCTATCAACATGTGGCACATGTCCTTGACACACTCAACAAACTCTATCCACGGCTCATTTCCCTCACCTCTCCCTCTCTCTCTTTTAATATGAGGTTGCCTGGTAAAGAAAGCAGGAATCTAATAACGGTGACAGTGGGGCTGTTTTGTTATTGTTCCCTGAATCTCAGACAGAGAGGCTGTGCGTACATTAATGAAATGGATAGAAAGAAACGGCATGGAAAAAAAAAAACATTATAATATAAGAGTATTCATTGCATTTTATGTGTTAAAACTACTTTTTAAAGAAATGCACAAACGGTATGTGCTAAGAGGCTACAAATGGAGAATTAGAGTTAATGTGAGAGTCAGTGTGCTTTATTGTTTAAAGTTCTTGGCTGTGTGTTCATGTTGTGTGTGTGAACATGTTTGGCTTCTCTTAATCGACAGATGCTGAGAGGAATTTTGCACAGGGTTCTCTGATAAATGTTAAGGTCATAGAAAGAGAAAGCGAGAGAGACAGAGAGCGACTGATGAGACTGATGGCAGAGGGAGGACGGGACACATGTCTCGTCTTGTGCATCGCTGCTGTGACTGCATTAGTGGAATGCTACAGTCACATGAAAGAGCTCTCTGAGACGCGGCATTTCTGTCTCAAAAGCTGCACTGTCCCCCTCTCCGCACACTCACGCAGAGATAAACACACCGAAACACACACACACAAACTTAAATACAATTATTTATCAACACCAATTAAAAGGAATATGAATAAAATTACTGCACTTAAAAAATACTGCAGTAAATGTTTCATAACCTCTCTGTAAATAATCATCTAATAAACTAGCCAGCAAAACTAATCAAAATAATACTGACTAGGTCAGGACAACAGTACGTATCTATTACTAATTCTTAAAACACTAGGAAACAGGATTAAAAAGGGAATAATAATAATTCTGAAACAATAAAAAATGTCATTTTAACAACTTCAGCATCAACAATCACTTAATCAAATTACTCCAAAGTACAACAGAGAATCAATGATACACAGAGTGAAGTAATAAATAAATAAATAAATAAAGTGGCCATGTGCTGCTAGTTCTAGGGTATTTATTTAAGACCTACCACTTATCAATATATCACTTATATATTTTTTTTTTTCAGTGCTCTAGTCCAAGCTCTAGTCAAAGTCCAGCACATTTTGTCTGACACAATGTGAAACATCTTATTCTGTAGTACCTCCATATAAACTATAAAAAATAAATCACCCACAATAATCATACACCTCCCCACTGAGTACTTTAGTCACTGCAAGGCTTCTGTTATGTGCTAGCTTGTAGATCCACAACATCCAGCCCAGCTTGGTTCTCTCCACAAATAGAAGTGAATTATTGTCTTAGTTCTTTAAGAGAGCAGAGATTACCCTTAAACTATCATTTCCTCAGGTCATCAATCCAGTTCTAGCAGCTGACACACCAGAGTATTTCTGTTTTACCTCAACATTTACAGCTATTCCGCAACAAAATAACCTTGGCAATGAATCACAGAAATACAAAAGAGAGCGCATACTCTTGTAGAAAAAATTCAAAAATGCTATTTTAATAGGGGAAAAAAAGTGTTTGTTGGATGATGCCTCATATGCATACCAGCACAAAATCAATTGCAACAACAAATATAACATAATTTCTATGACCCCTCTGGAAATCAATACTTAAAACAATATTTTGTTGTATTTAAGTTGAAACCCCTGCATTTGATTTGAATCTTACATTTCTTAAAATGTATTATGTTTCCTGATCAATTCAATTTGAAAAAACACTAACTAGCCTATATATTGTGACATTGCTAGAATACAATAAAAAATAAACAATAAAGCCTAATTATTGTAACACGTTCTCACTATACTGAAATGAGATTTAAAATGGTCTCTGCATCTGTTTTACTTTCATAATTTTTCTACCAAATACATACAATGTGTTTTTTTTTTCTTTTCTTTTCTTTAATTATCATTCTGGTCTCTCAATGAAATAACTGTCTGTGCTTTAGTTCAATTTCATAGTCTTTATCTTCAGGTCATTCATCCACACATTCACCTATAATGCCCATCACAAGAATCAACAGACGGACAAAGGAGGATAAAATGCCTATTTTTTTAAAGGAGAAGACAATGCCTATTTTCTAACAACAAATTTGAATGGTAACACTATTCTCTGCTAGCTATTCACACTGTTTTGCTGGTGTTATGACCAACCTGTCGTACCCACCCCATCCATCTATAACACACGGTCTGTCTATCAGTGTGAAGTTTCAGCAGTGCTCTTCTTTTTTCATTTACAGGTTGCACTATTATAAGGCTTTTCTTTTTTTTTATTTAATACAAGGAGCACACATTATTATTATTATCAATATTTTTAAGTAGTCCTACATTTCTATGCAGAAACTCAATTTTACATGTCACCAACACTATTCACAGAGAGGTTCAAGATCAAATAAGCAGTGTGTCTGTGTCTGTGTGTGTGTGTGTGTGTGTGTGTGTGTGTGTGGAGAGAGTAGGCAGAGGGTCAGAGAACACAGGGCTAAGTGGACCTGCTCTTCATTAAGACAATGTCTCCGGGGGACGTCACCAGGGCTACCTGTCCATGCGCTTATTGAACCGTCTAACCATCATCTACCCTCTTACTCTGCCAGGGCCCCTGGAGAATCACACCAGCACAGCTGACAACTTCAGCCTTAGACTGTGCCTGCAACATGAAAGCACCTCTTCATTTTACCTCCTCCTTCCCTCTCTCTCACACACCCTCTCATTTCTCCTATACTCCTGCCCTGAACCTACGTGGGGTGTTTTTTTTTTTAAGAAAAAAGGAGATGGAACTGAGAAAGACAAAGAAAAAGAGAGCAAGGAGGATAGAGATAAAGAAGGGGGACATAACTGCATTTGACTCTTGACATGGAGCAGATGAAATGTTAAGTGTCCAGAAAAGTCCGGGGAGCCGTGCAGATAAAAGTCATCAAATGACACTCTTGGAATGCAAATTGGCATTCTTGACTGCAGCACTTGAACAACTGTGCCCCATCACACACAGCCGCTGAGATTAGGACAAAAAAATATATATATAATAATAATAATTTAAACCGCCAATCTCATAAATCCTTAAGTAGTAACGGGGAGATTTTTTTTCCCCCCCAAATATATTCAGAGATATCTCCACCTTGTCTCTGCGTTCACTGAGAGTGAAATACCTTCACCTGCCCTTGTAAATCACTTTCTCTCTCTTTTCAGAAAAAACAAAACCAATAAACATTATGATAAAAAAGGAGGAATGATAGAAAATATTGTAATCATCACCAACAGGTTGCACACAAATCTGAAAATAATTTTTAAATGAATTAATTTGGTTGCATTTGTGTATTACTCGGATGATTCATGTACAAAAATTCAAAGTAAATCATGACGATTTAAAACCCGGTCTGAAAGCTGAATAATTTCGTCTTGCAATTCATAAACATTTGTGTGAGTTGAGTTGTTTTATTTCAAAGATATAAGATATTCTTTCAAAAAAACAAATATTACATTAGCCTACCTAAATTCTGTTATTGTAGCCTATGTTATATATTTTTATATTCATTATAGTTGTAGATGAGTCAAACATTTAGATGATACTTATAAAATTGGACCTATTTGACACATAACCTATTAAGGTTTCGATTTATTTCTATGATTGTATTTTTATTTTATTTTTTACCTATATAAGCGACCTGTGCACTCATATGGTGTTTTGTATGTAAATGAGAATAAACTGAGATGAAAGAAATCCCCAGGTAAAGCAGTTTAACTTTAACTTGCATTCTCACGGCGGTAGATTTTCTGATTCAACTTCTTGACTAACACTTTCGATAAACTTCAGTCATACCGGTTAACAGATTTATAGGCTATCAAAGTTTCATGACATCTGAAACTATTTAAGTGTACGTGTAGTGGTCGTAATGAGCGCTATACTGTACACTATACTGTTTGTTAATACCATTAATGAGAGTTATTGTAAAGTGTTCATTTGTTGATCGCTCATACTCACCATTTCTTCATATTGTGTGAATGGCAGAATGAAGTTCAGTCAGATCTCGCCCTCATGTGGGGGGACTCTCTCCTCTTCCCTCTTCTCTTCTTTAGGCTACGCAAATCTCTCTAAACTCACTCAAAACTTTATGTCTGTCCCTTCAGTTTTAAACCGATAATAATATTGGGAACAACGAGAACAACAGTCCTTTATCGTTTAGAAAACATTGATTTAAAAACACGGAGTCAGTTCTGCGCATTCGCATGTACCGGGTCTCAGTAAAGCGAAAGAAGCACGTTGGCTGAAATATAAGCTGTTTCGGTGGATCCAGAAGCCCAGCGCTGGTTCCGCTGTTCCAGATCCGCTCGTATAAGACACTCCACCGGGACTGAAGCGGGACTAAAGTGGGTGGGTAGTTTGAAGCAGCGGGGTAAATCTCTGGCTGTCCGGGAAGAGAAAACTGACTGTCTACTCACTCCCGGCTATTTCTTCTGCATAGTCAGCTCTCTGAATGCTGCATTACATCCGAAGGAACATGGTGATATATTTTTCTCTAGTATAGTTGGTAGTGCTTTATTTTCTATAAGACTATAGTTGATAATAGACATTATCATCTTGTATTTTGTGTTAATTAGGCTACCTTTTATTTATATAAGATGTTTTTTTTATTATTATTATATTTTATATATTCTAGTATGTTCAGCATTACACTATCTTCAAGTTAAGATAATATAGCCTAGGCTAATTTTAAGTTATGTCATGTTGTAATGTAGGCTATATTATGTTCAAGAATATAGGAGGTTGTTTTATCTTATAGTGGTCCTGTCTTAGTATTGCTTCTGTAAAGACTAACCGCTATGTTATGATAAGCTATTTCTGTGTAACAAAACCCTTAAAAAACATGCACTGAATATGTTTTCTTTTTTTTTTCTCTTTTTTTTTTTTACATTTCTACCCAGACTCTAATATATTAAAGTAAACATTTCAAATGAATTACTGAAAATGGAATAATAATAGGCCTAACATTACATTACACATTTGATGTAAAATTAAATTTTAATATATTATTGGGCATTCGTAATAGTTGTCTTTAACAGAATAAATGTCCTAAATTGAAATATGCAATGACTTTACGGCTAGGCGTACTTTTACGACAAATGGACAGAGCTAGCATTTTTTTTTTATTGCGGGGTGAATCAATGATATTTAATGTTATCGATATTTTTGTCCTTGTTTTTAATAATTCCTTAAGTTTCATCAGGCGCAGTTTTACCCAATTTGACTTAAAGGAGAGTACCCCTACAACACACACACACACATACACAAATCACTAAGATGGTTTGCTTTTGAGATGTTTGAGGACACTGATTTCCTATAGATCTCCCAAACTTGTGTCCCCAGACTGTCTGAACAGAGCGTTTATAAATGTTTAATAATAGACTTGTTTCTTTTTTCCTTATAGTGCGCACAGAGATTGATTCTCAAGTAAAAGCTGAGGAAAGTCAAATGACAGACTTCTCCTTTGGACCAATAGAAGCCCCTAAATCCCAAGGCAGTCATTTTGATCAAGCTGAGTGCCTACAAGCCCCACTCACATGTTTGGTCAAGAGGTAAATAATAGATCAGGGATTAAACTTGTGTAGAATTTGTTCTAGGGTAACAAGCTACACACTCCCAGGATATGCATATTCATCTGATGTGCAAGGCCATGGCAGAGTAAATACCATATGCCCGGTAGTTAGAGATCTTAAATCCCTAATTAAATGAGATATTACTGTACATTGCTCCCCGATATTAAACAACAGAACAGAGAAGATAGACCTTTAAAGAATTATGAGTAATGGACACATTAGCATGTTCACGTGTGTTCAGTTTCCTCAGCATTAGTCTAGGAACGAGTTATTCTCCTTTTGTTGTTTCATGTTTAATGCAACTTCTAGCTTGTACTGTGCCATTAAATAGTTTTGAAATCAATTTTTGTTTGAAATCAAAATTGTTTTGTTACTCTGCATGCAATAATGTAGTCTATTAAATGTCCTCATCATGTGACAAGCCATCCTGTAAGTGCAATGAACAAGTGACATCCATGAGTTATGAACTCAGCTGCTTGATTCCTTTATTTGCTCAAGAAAAACATGACATTAAAGCAGCTTCCTCTCTGAAATCAGCTGCAAAAAGCCACCTGTAGGACCCGAACATAAGTATTGGTTTATGTCAGACCCCTTCCAGTTGTCTAATTACTCAAAGGGCAGTTGATGATGAGCTATTGAACCTTCAACCGGTTTTGGTCCTTTGGGACGACCATCAGCTGTCATAGACTGTGTGTCTGTTCAATAAATGCCACACGTAGTTCCTGTTTGTGGGTACTGAGGAAAATGTCAAGCTGATGGTGTCGCTAGACTTCTGGAAGGAGGCCATGCACGTTTCACTCTAACTTCGCCGTCCGCCCTCAATGAGGAAGTCATTTTTTAGCATTGATCTCTTGTCTTGTGTAAACTTTCCCTAAACATCATTGATTCACGGTAGAAGGAAACAAAGTACATATTTGTTAGCTATACTTCACACCATACTTTCAGATGATAATGGCCATGGACACCTCTTTGCACACATTCATAAGCATAAACAAAAACAAAGGAGTGAAAAGGTTTTCTGTGTTTGCCAGAGGCTCACATTATTTGAGCAGCATGATCCTCTCAGGGGAAATCTGATACAGCCTGTAGGGGAATCACTTCGCTCCTTTTTCCCACAATTCAACGGAGACACATGGGGCAAGCATTGCTCCCTCCACCCTGCTGGCTCCCCTTTCTCCCCCCATCGCCCACAGGAAGAGAGCCCTCTTATCAATCCCCTCATTATCCGAACCCACTGCCTGCTAAAGACAGTTAGAAGGTCATCAGATGGAGCCAGAGACTCATGCACGGGGGACAAATGCTCAACAGTGGAGCTTGTCCTGGGATGCAGAGCATTCTGTGGGAGCTCCGGGTGTGTTGCACGCAAGCGGATGGGCGCGTGATGACAGGTTTGCCAACGGGGAAGTGGAGAGATGCAACTTTGTAGGTTGCATGCCATGGAAGCCACAGAATAGATGACTGTCTGTCGCTGCAATGAAGGAGCTGGATTTTGCAAAGGCCTTAGGTTCACTGCAGTCGCATTACAGATAATTATGTAAATAAAGAGTTTAGGACCCACTTTGTACACATAGTAAAATGAATCATTAGAGACAATGCACCTATTGTGTACGTGTTTTTTACATTGTACTAATATTTAAAAGAACACTGGTCTACATGGGCGCATATGTTACATGCAGTAAAACATTTCAATTATACATAATTACATGCAACTAACCCTAAATTAAACCCTAATTCTAACCATATACATGTTGTTATTTAATTTTACTCAGTACTTAAATGTAACTACAGTGTAACAAAGACACCTTAAAATAAATTGCAGCCAAAATACCTTTATTTAGTAACTCATTTCTGTAGTCACATCTACTACTTAACCCAACCATGCCATGAAACCCAGTCCTAACTTTAATTGAATCCAACCTCAATACCAGAAAAAAAGCGTTTTACAATTCAAAATGAATAAGTACATTGCGCTATACCTAACTTTTGTATTTATTTTACACAAAGCGAAAGACACCTATTATAAAGTGAGACTAGATTTTATTTTCTATTATTATTATTATCATATGGTATGCCCTATCCTTATTATCATAACTTGTATTTTTTTGTCATTAACACTTGGTTTAAAGGGGTGGTGATGGCACAGTGGATAAGACACATGCCTTCTGTGTGAGAGACACGGGTTTGAATCCACTGCGAGACACCAATGTGTCCCTGAGCAAGACACTTAACCCCTAGTTGCTCCAGAGGCGTGCGACCTCTGACATAGCCATTGTAAGTCGCTTTGGATAAAAGCGTCAGCTAAATTAATAAATGTAAATGTTTATGCTGAAATTTAACCTAGTTACGTTATAGGTTATTTAAAAGTTTGGAGTAAATAAATATGTAATAGGATGTCTATTACAAATTTATTTACTCCAAACTTTCAAAGAACCTACATACATAACGTAACTTGGTTACATTTCAGGATAAAACAATGGACGTGGGAAGATAGAGAGGATAAAATTCTATTTGCCTTATAAAAACCAATATCCTGGGGCACATAAACTGTCAGAATCAAGTTTAAAGCATCTACACTATCTCAACTGGATTTGCACACCCACATGTTCATCCACTGGGAAATGATGTGTTGTGCTCCTCTTTAAAATGCCTCTCATTTCCATTCCAAAGTGACACTACCAGGTTTGCAGCCAGCATGTCGACAAAGCGGGCGTCTTGTATGTTTTTATAGCATTATAAAGTGCGACATTCTTTTCTTCCCCTCTTTATCAAAGGTAAACGCTCAGCAGATGACAGTCCTCCTACCTCGGATTGCAGGCGGAGAACCGGGGTTTTCCCAATCCTCTGTGGTGAGATACTTCCCGTGCTCTGCCTACTCAGCCCACCAAGGGATTGTCAATGCTTCCTGATTTTATGTGCTGCATGGTGATTCGGTGTGAATACATCTCTGTTTCTCAGTGACATGGAGAAGGAGGAACAGATGAGTTAAATGGAATCATTTTATTTGACATCACCTCAAAAATACTGTGGCAGCAACAAAGACAATAGACAGGACCGGAATTTGTCAGGCTATGATATAATGTTATAAAATGCTTAAAATCACACATTCCTACTAAATCATTATTAAAACAGGCTAATTATTAAAAGTAAAAAAAATATATATATATATATAAAACTCTAAATGCAAATACAAGAACAACCAGTGAATAGCAAAAGAAAGGATAAAAACCTAAATACTCATAACAAATGAAAATATGTAAAAATAAGCAATTCAAAAGTAAATGATAATACTGTAACAACAGGATTTAGCTGGATTTTAACTACTCCCCCCCCCCACACACACATACACACAGCAAACAAAAGTCAATATCAGACTCATGAATAAAAGTACAAAAGTGGTCTGACAAAGTAAATATCTTTAAGGTAAGAAATTATTTTAATGTGTTGTATAAAGGATCACTCAATGATCACTCAATGGTATTCT